CCCCAAAACCCCAAAACCCCAAAACCCCAGGCTATTTTCTTTAAATTGAATCGATTATGAATTTACTGAGATATTGATAAACTTAGGATCTTCTGTCAATTGTTTTGCAAATAGGACATATTGGTTTTATTGAAAGCCATGTGTGAATGCAAGCTGGATGAAACTTGTGGCCGCACCTAATTTTTTCAGTGATTTCGTAGTCTTCAATTTTATTCAAACAGACTACTCAACTCTCTTCTACCTATGGCCATCACTACACATTTCAAAAATCTCTAACTACATTTTCAAGCACCCGTAATCACATTTAAACTTAAAAGCGCCATTTAGAGCATTTTTACCTTTCTTAGGATAAGCGTAGGTTAGTTTGGAGCCCACTGATTTTTTAGGTGGGGACTAGATTGGTTGCGAATGTTATAGGGCTGGGTATTAGGGGATGGTTAGGCGAGCTTGGGAGGGCAGATTGTTGGGGGTTGAGGGATTTTCAGAATTTTTAGGGGATTGGGGGTTGAGAGATTGGGTTTGGAGTTAAAATGGTTGTGAGAGATTTTTGGGAGGGGGATAGTTGGTTTAGTTATTTTTGGAGGTATAGCTTTTTGGTAGAAATGGTCGAAGGTTTGTATTATACGAATCTTATGAATCATTTAAAAGTATGGTGCTTAAATTTCCTATCGGTTTCTTCAAAATTCATAATCTTTACAAAAATAAAAAGATGAAAATTCCCTCTATACATACAAATCATTCGTAAAAATTGAACGAAATTACTGGCATTCTGCTTATGAACTGAGTATGGAAATACCCTATGCTTCAATATTACCTTCAATAAAAACTGTATTATGATATCCTTGTTTGTATCCTATGGCATTTATTTCCTGAAGGTTATGTCCATGATGATCTTCCTTAATTTCTTCCTGCACATTCTCCTCTTTGTCTTCATTTTTCTTACATCAGTATTTAGTCAGACATTGTGAACCAAACTGACAGATCTTCATAGAGATTATCAGCACAGAGTATATACCAAGAAATATAGCTGGGACTACAAGGAGGATCCAAGTCAGAGGATGAAAGTAAGGAAGCCACTCTACATCTAATAGATAGGCTCTTGTTTGGAAGTAGACGGAATAACAAAACGCCATACAATAAACCATGACTACATACCCTCCCCAAAATCCCTCTCCCTCATCAAACACAATCGGCAGCCCCAAGAACAGTCCTACAGTCACTACTGAAAAAGTCGGTATCCCTCAGAAGAACAGGCCTGGCCAGATATCTCTGAAATCTTCTTTTGCTCTTCTCTTAGGTTCTTCAAGTGAGTCGAAGAGGGCTATATCCAGAAGAGACCGCAGAAACAGCCTGCAATGAGGATAATGCAGCCACGAATGATTTCACAGCAATCAATAAGGTTATTGCCAGGAGGTAACTTAATGGTTCTTTCAGTGCTGGATAGAAGAAAGAAGATGAGTGTTGTTGTGGTCAGGTATCAATTAACAAATAAGTAGCAAAGTAGAGCATTGGTACCTCCAACGACCATCCTCCATCCAATAACTCCATAAACCACTCCAAACGTCACTATATACAGTGCAAACACATATGATTTGTGGTTAACAGCAGAATGCAGCTTCTTTGCGTAGACTTTTAACTCCATTTTTTTAAGAAGGGTGTGGAATTTGAAGTTTTAGTTTTTAAGGTTGACTGGGGTTTTGGGGTTTTGGGGTTTTGGGG